CCCCCCCCCCCCCCCCCCCCCCCCCGGCAGGAGCTGAACACATATGGGGAGACCTGTGGAAGGGGCAGTGGTGCGGTTTTGCTAATGGGGCATAAAGTCAGAAGGAGAAAGAGTCCTGCAGACCCCAGGCCATACACAGTGGTGCCTCTGGGGAGAGAACATGGCTTGGGGCCATAGCTCTGCAGACCCCTGGGGTATACAAGGGAGAAAGGCTTTGGGCCCAGCTGGGAACCATAGCAAAGAAGATCTCGGGCACACTTGAGGGAGGAGTGTCAAAGCTTTAGGGGGCGGGGCATAAATGAGGGTAAGGCTTGGGAACACGCTTTGTAGACCCGAGGGTGTAGCCAGAAGGCGGACAGAGCCCTGGAGCTTCAGGGCTCAGCCGGGGGCACACCTAACAGCTGGGGGCCACGCCTGGCGAAGGGGGGGATAGACGCATTTGGGAGAGAGTGGTCCCGCCAGGTCCCATCCCTGGCCCCGGGGCAGCGCTCACCATCTCCGGACCTTCTCGATGGTCGCCATCACCTTCTTGATGTCATCCTTGGCCCGGCTCCGGGTCTCGGCCCGCACGGTCCGGCCGGCCATGCTGGCGGGACTGGGGCCGAGGCCGAGCCCGCGGCTGGGCCGCCTCCCGTCCGGCGGGCTCAGGCTCGGCGCCAAACCAGGGCGCCGCTGTCTCGGCCTGCCGTCCCTCCGGGAGTTGGCCGCGCCCTCCCTCGCTCCCCAACGCCTCCGCGAGTCCCCGCCCCGTTTCCTGCTGCCGCGCCCCGCCCCGGCCCGTCCCCGGAACGGCGGGGCGGCGCGGGCGGCCAGAGCCCAGGCCTGGAAGTCGGCCGGCCCCGCCCCGACCGGGCCCGCCCCCTCGGGGCGCCCCGACGCTCAGCGCCCCCTACCCGCCGCCAAGAGGGAGGGTTGGGGACAGCTTGGCGCCAGGACTCGCGCGGCTGGGCTGAGGAGGTGCGTTCAGACCACGTGGGCACGGGGAGGGGGAGGCGGGCGCGAGAGGGTCACTGTCCCAGCCCGCGTCCGCAGCGCGGGGGCGGCCCCGAGTGCTGTGTGCACCGTGTGCGTCCGGCCGCCCCTGGCTGGCACTCCCGCGCTGTCCAGCTCTTCCTCCAGCCCTTCGTTCAGTGATCTATTCACTGAGCGCCCATTACGGACCAGACGCTGCAAATAGGAGTAGAGGTCTCTACCCGCCAGAATGGCTAAAATGAGAACGACAGACGGTATCAAGTGTAGACAAAGAAGTAGAGCAACCAGACCTCTCCTGTTTCTGTGGGAGTGGAAACGGGTAGAGACGCTTTGGAAAACGGGCGGTTTTCTGGAGAAGTTGAACTCGCACCATCCAGCAATTCTACTCCTAGGTCGCACCATCCAGCAGCATTCTACTCCTAGGTCATTAACAACCAACAGGAATGCGTGGGTATGAGCACCAAGAGATGTGTACCGGAATGTTCATAGCACTGTAGATAATGGCCTCAAACTGGAAACGGCCCGTCAAGAGTAGAGTGGAAGCGGAATTGTAGCCTGTTCATACAGTGGACACAGCAGAGAGTGATGTCCCGCACACCGGGGTTATGTCTCATGAAAGGAATCAGATACCACTGTATACACTGTATGATTCCTTTTATATGAAGTTCAAAACAGACAAAACTAATCAATCGGTGTCAGGATAAGTGGTCACCCTTGAGAGAGACTGAAAGGGAGCTCTTGCACTGCTCCTGTTCAGTTTCTTAACCTGAAACTGATTAAGATAGTGCTGGTCACTCCTCCCCCCACTATATTTACTTTGAATATTCACCAAACGGTATGCTTTTCCCTATCTATTATACTTCAATTAAAGGCTTACTTAAAATGAGTGTGATTTGGTTGAGTTTATTTGAATCTCTGTTTGCTAGCAGATAACGACATGTGTTGCTATGTGTGTGTGTTTCAAGGGTTTGGCTCTCGTCTCGGTGTGTTTTGGTGTGATTATGTCCAGAGGGGTTAAGGTATAAGGAGGGGGATTCTGACCAAATTTCTGGAGCCAAACTGCCTCTGGGCAAAATCCTAGCTCTTCTTGTCCAGTGACCTTGGGCGACTCACTTATCTTTATTCCTTCAGCTGTAATACGAGAATAAGTTAATATGTAACTCCCGGAACAATGTGCCTTGCACATAGTAAATGCCCAATAAATAGTCACTGTTTATAAGTGCGTGATTGTGGCCCCTACCAACAGTCTGGCTTCAGTTGTTCCTCCTATGCTCTCTGCCAGTTAATACCTTCCTTTATTCTGGCAGTTGACTGCTCATGGTAATACCTTCGCAGAAACACAGGACTCCTTCCCAGTCCCTTCACTCACAAACCCCATTACCTGCTGTTGATGATGGTCACCTCCATCAGACTGTGAGCTCCTCAGGAGGCCAGAGACCAAGGCCTCCATCAGACTGTGAGCTCCTTGGGAGGCCACAGACCAAATATGGATTGTCTCTGGGTCCCAGAGCCCGGGACGAGTAGGTGCTTGGGAACCACTTATGGGTATAAGTGTGCACAGACCATCCATAGTTTATCTGCACCTGGTCAGTGAGGTTGATATATCGGTATGAACCCCTTACCTGTCTCTGAAGCTTGTTCCAGGGTGAGAATGAAGGTCTGTATGCAGTAAATGTGTGTACATCAGAGGGGTTCTCTTACTGGGCCTGGTAAGGTGAAGTGAGCTGCTGCCGTTATCTATTCCCCTTCTAGTAGATGTGACAGGAGAGGGTGAGCAGAAAAGTATCTAAGATAGGCCAGGAGGTATGTGTCTGGGCAGGTGTGGCCCAAGCCTGAGGGCCCTTAGCGAGGCCTCTCTCGCACCCAGCTTCCCCCTCCCCCCGCGCCCAGACAGAAGGGAGGATCAGCACATTCCTGTCTTGCCAGTTCCACCCTCTCTTATTCCGCTCCCCCCCATAGCCCCCAGCTTTCTCCGAAAAGAAGCTCGCTCACTAAGCCTTGCCCCAGGTCAGAGCCTGAGCCTCCTCCTCCCGCGGGTACCAGGGCTACCTCCCAGGCCTGGGCACACCCAAACTCTAGGTTTTGAGCCCACCACGCAGACAACGTGCCAACCCCCCTCAGGCCCCTTTCCTGACTGGGCAGCGCAAGCAAGGAGCTGAGCTCAGAGCCAAGGAATCCTGCCGGGGGGGGGGGGGGGGGGGGGGGGGGGGGGGATTGTTTGGGGTCTGAGCCCTGATTGGTTGCGCCCGGACCACGCCCCTACCCCTTTCCCCCTTCTCCCCCTTCGGAAGGGGGGCGTGTAGGCAACCGGGATCAGCCAGGGGCCAGCATGAGCCGGAGGGAGGGAAGTCTGGGTAAGGGGCTGAAGGGCTGGATGCCCAGTGCCCGAGGGGAGCAGGGGTCAGAAGGGCTGGAAGCTGGGGTCTGGGTCCCCACCACCCCCGGGTCCGGGAAGGGAGCGGCCTGAGCTGGGGAGAGCAGGGCCCCGGTGTCAGGTAACGAGCGGGTGAGCTGCGGGTGAACTGTGGGAAAGGACAAGCACCGGAGTTTAGCGGAGGCCTGGGCTGTGACTTCAGGGACTTGGGCTCAGGGTTTAGATCACAGGTTCGAGTACACCTTGAGAAAAAGGACTGAGGTCGCAGCTGGGGCTGGACGCCGGAATCCTCTGTATTGGTAGTATTGGGAAAGAATCAGACCTGCGTACCAGAGGGAGGGATAGAGTTAGGGAAGGAAGTCTTTGGGCCACGGGAGCTAATGAATGACAATAGGAGACGAAAGTCGAGGCTATTAAGGATAGAGACTAGCGGTGGGAAACTCTGGCTTGGGGGAGCTGGGGGGCGGGGCGGGAGTTGCCGGGCCAAGACTACATTCCCCAGCATGCCCTGGCACGTGCCCTGGAATCTCGGGAAATGTAGTCGTCCTTCCGGGGCTCCACCCTCTAGCTTACGCTAGGGAAGGGTAGTCACGGATGCTGCAGGTGTCCTGCCCAGCGTCTGCACAGACTGTCCTTCGGGGAGGACATGGGACTTTAGTTTCCCAACTGTAGAATGGGTTTAAGGTATTATTCCGATTTGAAGTTCTGTGCTTCAGTGATGTTAAATTTCACCAAAAATCAGTGAGGTATGGGGATATGTGAAACCTTCCCTCAAAGGACTCCCAGCCTAAGGCCGATTCACACAGATAAAAGAGACGTTCAAAAACAACCTTGGGAGTATAAACAAATGGCCTTAAGTAAAAGGAAAAAGGCAATTTAAGGGAGAAGTGAATCCAGAGACCACACTGAGGAGGCAATATTTTAATTTGGCTTTAATAGGATTTAACAGTGATTTGGGGTCAGGGAATACATTTCAGGCAGGACAACTGTTTCACAAATGTTCGGTGTCTCATTTACCATCAGTTGGAATGGGACAAAGGCTGCCTGGCTTGAAAGTTGGAGAATTCAGAGCAGAACTTGTGGGTTCAGGAAGGAAGAGCCAGCCTGGAAGAGTAGTCAAGGAGCAGGGGTCTTGCTGCCCTCATTCCTCCCCCTTTTTCCCATCAGAAGATCCACAGGCTGACTCCTCCATCTCACCCCTTCCCCACTTGGAGGCCAAGATCCGTCAGACACACAGCCTTGCCCGCCTCCTCACCAAATATGCTGAGCAGCTGCTCCAGGAATATGTGAGTGGGAATGGGGATGGGGGTGCCAGAGGCCTGAGGAATGGGGGAGTACAGATCACAGAGGTTCCTGACTTCTAATTTTTCTGACCTCATTTCCCAGATACAGAAGTTGGAGCAAACTGGAGGACTTTCCCTATGCTCCAAATGCCCCTCTGTCTGCCTCAGCTTGGAGGTTCCCCCCACAGTGCATTAAGACAGAGGCTGAAAGAGTGAAAAGAATTCTGGTCTGGGAGTCAAAAAATCTAGGTTCCAGGCTTTCTGTGATCTTGTCACCTCACCTCCACTGGCCTTGGTCTCCCCAGCTATTAAAGGAGACAGTTTAAGAAGATGAGTTGTGAACTCTTCTACCTATGCTATGCAGAGAGACCGAGAAGGGTTTCAATTTAAGGCTAAAATTCCAGCCCAAGAGGGGACTTTAACAGAGGAGGGGAATTTGCCAATGTCTTTGGTTGGGCATAGGGCCTTGCCCAAGGAAAGAGGGTATTTCCATCAATTACTCTAGTGTAATGGAAGTGTAATGGAAGGAGGTTATAGTTTTGAATCAAATAGACTGTAGGCCTGCTAACTTACTTGACCTTGGGCACTAATGGTAACATGAAAAAATAATGATGTAACAGTTATGAAAGTGGGATAATAGAAAGAACTAACTTTATGGTGCTATGAACTTTGGTTCAAAATCCAGCTCTGTCCTTTCCTAGATGGATGACCTAGGGCAAGTCAGTTTACCTCTTCAGCCTCCATATCCTCATTTGTAAAATCAGCATTATCATAATCATCATACCTATTTGGAAAGATTAGGAATAGTGTTTAAAGCAGCAAACAGGGACGCCTGGGTGGCTCAGTTGGTTGGACGACTGCTTTCGGCTTAGGTCATGATCCTGAAGTCCCAGGATCGAGTCCCACATCTGGCTCCCAGCTCCACGGGGAGTCTGCTTCTCCCTCTGATCTTCTCCTCGCTCATGCTCTCTCTCACTGCCTCTCTTTCAAATAAATAAATAAAAAATCTTTAAAAAAAATAAATAAATAAAGCAGCAAACAGTGCCAATCCAGAGACAAGATGTTAGAAAAGGATAAATGGCATTGTTGTAGCATTTTTACAAATTACAAATCTCCTTTAATTTGTTTGTTCATACAACAGTTATTCATTGAGCCCCTGCTGTGTGCCCGGCAGGTACACAGGTGTTGGAGGATGGGGGGGGGCGGGGTTGGTGAGACTGACCAGGGTTCTGCCAGTATCTTTGTGATTCTCAGGAGATCCCTGGTAGAAAGACAGGCCGGGAACTGATCCCCCATTTTACAGATGACAAGGCAGACTCAGAGAAGGGAGATGGTTTCACATGCAGCTGCACAGCTAGCAAGTGGTGGAGTCAGGATTGGCACTCAGGTCTGTAAGATAGCATTAATGATATCGCTAACATTCACTGTGCTCCTCCAGGGGGCCAGCATTTGCCCGAGTCATTTTAACATGCTCATGACTACCCTATTAAGTTGATACTTCGTCTCTATTTTTTTAAAAGATTTTATTTATTTATTTGACAGGCAGAGATCACAAGTAGGCAGAGAGGCAGGCAGAGAGGGGGGAAGCAGGCTCCCGCTGAGCTGAGAGCCCGTAGTGGGGCTCGACCCTAGGACCCTGGGATCATGACCCAAGCCAAAGGCAGAGGCTTTAACCCACAGAGCCACCCAGGCGCCCCTGTCGTCTCTATTTTAGAGACGAGGAAACAGGCGCTGTTGCAAAGCCCACTTGTTGTTGTGGTTGTGGTTGTGGTTGTTTTGGAGTATCAAACACAACAACTTTGTTGGGAGTAATGCGTCATTTGGGAGGGCGTAAACTGAGGCCCCAGCGAGAGGAGGAGGAGCGGAGAGTGGAAAGGTTACGTCGCGCCTCGCGCCCCCCCCCCCCCTCGCCCCCCACTGACTGCCGTATCTCCGCAGGTGCAGTACCAGGGAGACCCCTTCGGGCTGCCCGGCTTCTCGCCCCCGCGACTGCCGGTGGCCGGCCTGAGCGCCCCGGCACCCGGCCACGCGGGCCTGCCCACCCCCGAGCGGCTGCGGCTGGACGCCGCGGCGCTCACCGCGCTGCCGCCGCTGCTCGAGGTGGTGCGGCGCCACCAGGCCGAACTGAACCCGCGCGCCCCGCGCCTGCTGCTGCGCCTGGAGGAGGCGGCGCGCCAGGCCCGGGCCCTGGCCGCCGGGGTGGAGGCCGTGCTGGCCGCGCTGGGCGCCGACGAGACCCGCGGGCCCCGGCCGGAGCCCGCCGTCGTTGCCACCAACGCCGCAGCTGCCGTCACCGACGCGGGCGTCTTCCCTGCCAAGGTGTTGGGGCTCCGCGTGTGCGGCCTCTACCGCGAGTGGGTGAGCCGAACCGAGGGCGACCTGGGCCAGCTGGTGCCCGGGGGCCCGGCCTGAGCGCGGGGCACGGGGCTGCAGCTCGCTGTCATCCGCTCGTCGTGAGTCTCCGTCTCTCCATCTCTCTGTCGGTTCCTGGGGAGCCCCGACTGTCTCCATCTCTCTCTCTGTCTCTTTGCTTTATGTGTTCTCCGTGTCTCTCTATCGGACCTCCTGTGTTCCTGCCTCTTCCCGTGGCCATCACTTTCTTGCTTTCCCCCTCTTCTCCATGGCTTGGGCCTGCCTCCGTCTCTCCTGGATCTCCCCCTTCACCCATCTCTGGGGGACCTCTTTGTTTCTTCCCCTTTTCTCCATCTCTTGGCTCTCCTTGGCCCCATGTGAGCATGTGCCTCTCTCTGGCCTTTCCTGGCCGAGTGGTAGGGCTACTTCAGACAAATTTCAGCACCTTCCCACCGCGTCACTCATCCTGCTGTGCTCTCCCTGCCCCATCCAGGCCCTTTGGATGGGCCCTACTTCCTTCTCCCTTGGACCTCCTTCTCCTCCTTCACCTCTTCTGCTGTGTCCCTGCACCTCCCCTCCCCCCAAGCCAGGTCTATGGAGAGAAAAGATCAACACCTTAAAAGAGTTTTATTTCGGAGAATAAATTAATTTTTTGTAAATAAAATGTTTAAAAATAAAAAGAACACTAACGTTACCAGTATATACAGTTGTTGACAATGGCGAGACACCTTTGAGGAGAATAGGATCCTTGGGCCACAGCCTGGTCTCCCAGACATACCCAAAAGCCAAAACATAAATAGGAGTTTCACAAATGCCTTCAGGCCAAGGATAACATCAGTCACTCTAGAACAGGAAGTGGTTGTGTCCTGAGCAGTAAACATCTAGAGAGTCCTTACTTTTTCAGCTGGACTTCCATTGATCAAGAAGTGAAGTCCCTCAAAATGGAAAGTTGGAACGGAGGGCCTAGTCAGGGAGGTAGACTAGGGAAGGTAATGAAATCCAAAGAAGGGAGGCCTCTCTGCTCAGAAAGCACACAGCTTCCCACAGGAAGTGAGGTAGAGACAAGAAGACCTCTGCAAACTTACAGGAGCAGGAGGGTCTGAAGGAGAGCCCAGGAAGGAGACCCACTGTCCTCTCCCTGCAGAGTGCAAAGTGAAGCCTCTTCAAAAAGACACTTCTTTCCACCCAGGATGTGGGCAACCAGGACCCCTGGATTGAGAACCCACAAAATGATATCCATAGAGTCCCCCCCCAGATCCGGAAGGGAGGCCATAGGACCTAGGCAGGAAAGGCCCAGGCAAAAGGGACTTGAGGCTTACTTCCTAGGTAATATCCCGAAATATACACACCCTGTCTGCTAGACACGATGTGTCTCCTTTCTTGCCAAGAAGCAAGGCAGAGAAGAGTCCACTGGGAAAGAAGTGTTGCAACCTTTGACAGGAAGTCCTGCCTCCTCTATCCAGGGTACTTGGCCTTGAGCAGAGCCAAGTCCCTCACAGCTCGGTCTGTCCAGTGGCCATATTCCCGGGTCACTACATAGCCTCGACATTTCCTCTCAAAGGCTGAGGCCTGGAAGGGGACAACCCCAAGAGTGTCCTCTTCAGGGGGGATGGGCAGGCCCAGGGCGGTCATGATGGCAGCCATGTTGCCCAGCAGGCCTTGGGCCCTGAGTCTTGCAGCCCCGAGCTGAGCCAGCAGGATAGGACTGCCAGGGTTAAGGTCTCGCTGGTCGTCCCCCACGAGCTGGAGGTGCTGGGTCAAGGCCAGGAAGGCCCCCTGGGCATGGCTCAGCCGCTCCCCGTCATCCAGGGCATGCCAGGTCTTGAAGGAGACGGCGGCAGGAGGCAGGCTGCTGAGCTGAAGCTCGGGGGCTGAGAAGCCAGGGTCACTGAAGGGGCTGCCCTGGTGCTGGAGCTGCACGAGAGACAGAGACAGGAGTGCAGGGACTGAAGTGGTCCCCTGGGGCTCCCCCTGGCTTCACATCTGACATCTTCCCAGGGGGAGCTGGTGGACATCTCCTAGCACAGATCCTGGGCTCTGTGATGGCCCAGTTTCATGTACAAGTTGTACCACTTTGAATCACGGCTTCAGTAATTCCCATGCATCGGTATTCTTGTGCAAACGTAAGAAGTGCTACATAGAAAGCACTTAGCACAGCTCCTAGCATACAATAAGGGCACGACAAGCCACTGTTTATAATATATTAATATCATAACACTATGATTGTATCATTTATTATACTATTTTCAGTCTAAAGAATTGACAGTGTAATTAGAGTCTCTATGGTTCTTTTTTATTTGTGGCACTTAGTTATTTACGCTTATTAATTTTATTATAATCATTAATAAATAATTGTTAACATTATTAAATTTAGTTGAGTGCCTTCTCCGTTAAAGTTCTGGCTTCCACAAACCTGGACCTATAGAATCTTGATGCCCACTGATAAATCCCCAAATTGATAGACCATCTAGTCCTCCATCCCTATCTCACAGGTGAAGAAACCGAGGTTCAGGGTACCCAAAGCTAACCAGGGAATGGCGGCAGTTACAGGACTAGAAACTACATTTAGTAACTTCGCACGGGCCTGGAATATAGTACAATGGAGAGTCACAAACCCTGGGGCCTCTAAGGGCTAGGCAGATCGTGTAACTTGGGGAAGAAGGCAGAACTAAGATGGGGTAGGGGCCAGGAGTGTCCCTGTACTTGTTGGAGAGAGGCAGTCGTGTTCAAAACTTGAACAAGTATATCATGGCCCAAACAGAAAACACCTGTGGGTCAGATTCAGCTGGCAGGCTGCTAGTCTGAGCTGCTAGACAGCGAGGGGTGGGGAGCGGGGAGGATTGGCTTCAATGCCACAGACCAGGTTAAGATCCTGGTGCTGCCAGTGATTTAGCTGTGTGACCTTGAGCAAATTTTTCACCCTCTCTGAGACTCAGTTTCCGTATCTGGTTATAACTCCGTCTCTCCGAACTGTTAGAGGCGTCTGTGAGGGAAGGAGGATGCGTGCCTAGCGCAGCATCGGGCTCAGGTAAGCACCCAGCACGAGGTCTTTCTCTGTCTGTGCCGCCTTTGAGACTTGTAATGGTCCTGAAAGGTGAGCAAAAGCAGGATCCCAATTCCATTTTGCGGATGAGGGAGCTGAGACGGAGAGAGAGAAGGAACGACTAGCCCAAGGTCTCCAGCCATCAGTGACAGTGTTGGAGTGAGTCTCTAGTGCACGGAGGCCCTGAACCCTCAGACCCGTGGAGGAAACTTCTCCCAACCTTGCTCTGCTTCCGCTACCCAGGGCTGGGCCAGGAGGGCAGTGTCCCGCTGCCCTCGTCCCCTGCTTATGCCCCGTGTCACTCACATAAGTCTGCAGCAGTGCTGATGTATTCTTCTGCATGTAGAGGGCCAGGCTGTAGGCCTGACTGATGGGCTCAGCTGGGGTGATGGGGGCCCCTGGACTGAGGGGCAGCAGCAGCAGCGTCAGCAGGCAGAACGGGGCTGGCGGAGGAAATCAGAGGTCAGCATCCAATCCCCGAGCCCGCCTGCTGGTTCATTCATTCTCTGTCGCAACTCTTCCCATGGGCACAGCCCTTGTGGCCTGCAACAATTGTGTGTATCCAAGTCGGGGCCGCATCACCCTGTAAGGAGATTATTTCCAGCCCAGAACATTCCACGGGACCCCAGACCCGATGTATTCAACTTCCTGCTTGACATTATTGAATACCAATAAGTGTCTCAACTCAAAGTCTCCAATACTTAACTCTGGGTTCCTCTTCCGAGTTGCCTCCCAGCCTTTCCCATCTCAGGCAAGGGCGCTTCCACTCTTCCCTTTGCTCAGGTCAAAACCTGGGTTCCTCTTTGGCGCCTCATTCTCTTTTGCTGTCCACATTTACCCCACAGTAAACCCTATCGGCTCTGTCCTTAAAAGGTAGCCAGTCCAGCTCTGTGTTTCTTGGTCTGAGTGCTCATGACAAGGATACGATCATTTTGTGAAAATTCATTGAGCTGTACGCTTCATGAGTTGGGTACTTTTCTGTTTGTTCTTCTCAATAAAAAGTCTTAAAAGTTGACAAGAGGCACTGAGAATCTACCTGCTTTCTTCCTCCATCCATTGCCATCCCCTGGGTCCCAGCCACCAGCCCTTCTCACCCAGTAGCCTCCCCCCACCTGTCTCTGCTTCTTCAACACTTGCTGACCTCCTCCCCAACAGACCCCCAGTTCAACTAGATTCCTCCTGTGCCTGAATTCTTCCTCTGCTCAGACCTCACACAGTGGAAGTGAATAAATCAAAGCCCTTCGGTGGCCTGCAAAGCCTCACCCCTCTGTACTGGCCTCCCATTCCATTCTCCCCCCCAGGTCTTCGCCCTTCCTGGGCCTTGCCAGGACCACCCCAAACCTTCCCAGACGCTGGATCCTTCTTGTTCTTCAGGCCTCAGCTCAGATAAGCTGTCCTCACCTCGTATCAAAAGCCCCTCCCCCTCCCCAGTCTATAGTCTTCAGAGACTTTTGCTATTTAATTTATTTAATTATTTGTCTGCTTGTTTGTTACTGTCTCTGCCCCTAGAATGTTGGCTCCAGGAAAGAGAGAACCTGCCCTGACTCATTTGCTGCTGGTTCCCCAGCACCTAGCATAGAGCTTAGTAAATATTTGTTGAATGACGGAATGCTCCCATGAACATCCTTATCCCAAACTCTTTAGGCACCTTTGAGGGTGTGCTTATTTTATTTTATTTTATTTATAAAGATTTTACTTATTTGACAGAGATTACAAGTAGGCAGAGAGACAGGCAGAGAGAGAGAGGGGGAAGCAGGTTCTCTGCCAAGCAGAGAACCCCATGTGATGCGACGCGGGGCTCCATCCCAGGACCCTGAGATCATGACCTGCACCAGAGGCAGATGTTTTAACCCACTGAGCCACCCAGGTGCCCCAAGGGTGTGCTCATTTTAAATTTGAATAAATGCTGCTAAGTGTCCCCTTACAGCTCAGGCCCAGTTCTCTTCCCAGTGTGAGGCTCAGAGGGGAGGTCACCTAGGGTCACGAGCAGGAAGCAATGGAGATGAGAAGCAAATTGTGATGGTCTCCTTTGTTCCCCTTTCTACATTCCTGAGTTCCCTAAGTTTAGAACTTAAGGGAAGGCTGAAAGCGAAGGCCCATTCGTTCATGCATTCGTTCAAAAAATTGGCTCATTGCACTCACCTTCTATCATACTGCACTATAATGTACATATTTTTTTTAAAGAATTTATTTATTTATTTGAGGGAGAGAGAGAGATAGAAC